ATGGTAGCTGTACAATACCTCTGAGGGAATAAACAGTATATTCAGAGAATGCTGGTAAAATGAAGTAGTCCTACAAAAATGTTTCCAAATCATTGGGCACATCAAATAGTATTTCATCCTGTATTGACAGGATTTTAAAAGCAAAATATGTAATAGGACCAATTTGCAATAAAACTGCCCCCTTTAAAGGATAATAAAATTTTCTCATTGTAGGCTTTAATGTCTACACCATTAATAAGATTTTAGATGCTTGAAATAAAATGTTTCTTCTTTCCTTGTTTTGTTAAGAGTTTGAATTGTCAACCAATATTTCTCTGAGAGAGGAGATAAACTCAGGGAAGATACAGGTCTGTCATTCAAAATATAAATAACGAGATTGCACTTCCTTGATAAATTTGGACTAGAATTTATCTTGTCAAGTTAAACCACATTGTAATCTTAATTAAAAACCATGTTTAGGTCATCTGACCTAAGTCAACTGGAAACACTGAGGCTGATGAATCAGAAGGCCAGCCTATAGAGTTCGGGTGATGTGCTGTCAAAGAGCATGAATTAGTGACAGCATGTCTGCATTACGTGTTGGAAAATATGTCAGTTGGAATGCAATGACTCCTGCTCTTAAATTTCTCTTTTTATTTGTGTTTTTAAGAAGCAGCTACATTATCTAATGGGTATAATGAAGCTGGTTGTGCTGAACACGCCAGCGTCATAGAATTGGCATTTAGTGTCAGTTACTCACCGAAGCGGAAGCCCAGCACAGTGTGAGTGGTGATCTAAAACAGGAGGCAGGGGCGAAGTGACTGTCCAGTTAATCATAAGGGAAAACATTGCAATTTGAAATGAAGTTGTTAGTGTAGCATAAACAGTGACGTCTTTAGCAGCACTGTAAACTACCTTTGCATGCCTTGGTGATCTTCTGACTTCCCTGCTGAAGGAGGCAAGTAGATCCCAGTAGTGCCTCCGTCCTTCACTGCATGTGAGCCAGGGCATGTCCACAGTCTTTTCTGTATTTTAGCTGCCCACCTGCCCCCCAGCCGCCCTGTTGGAAACTGGATTCATTTTTATAAACTTATCACAGGTCACAATTTCCATTGCTATACTTTTTATTTTTTTCGCTATTGATTTTAGCGTCGATAGGATTGCAGGGCAATCAAACTTTTAGCAGAGATATGAAAACAAAGAATGTTTTCTCAGCTCACTACATACTCTTGAGGATATAAAATGATTCTGAGGGGCCTCCCTGGTGGCGCAGCGGTTGAGTGCTGGGTTGCGAAGCTGCCCACGGCCTCTGTGGCGCCGGTTCGATCCCCGGCTGCTCCCCGGCCACCAGAGGAGGGTCCCACATGGCGCGCAGACCTCTCCTGCCACCCGCTGCTCCCCTCAGCAGTGTACTTCGGTCCTTCTGCCTGCTCTGCTCCCCGCTCTGGCTCTGGTGAATTCTCTCACCCTCCCGCGCTTCTGACTGTACCCAGTGCATGTATAAACAAAAACAGACAAACAAACAAATAAATAAAACACGCCTCTATAAAAAAAAAGTTTAAAAAATATAAAAAAATAAAATAAAATGATTCTGAGGAAGTTGGCGAAAAGTTCCAGATGGTACCTGGGTTGGCCTAAGAAGTTCTGGCAGTGTCTGGTAGTGCTTTGCTGCCCCCAAAGTGATGTAGTATATGAGTGTCCATGGCTCAGAAATAACTGAGAAGGCGCTGTATGTAAATGAGATGCACAGATACTCACCAGAACAACCCCAGAAAGATTGGAGGGGGTGTTCTTAGAGGGCTGATTGGACTAGGGTCAGCACTGCTGCTTAACTAGCTGTGACACTGGGCAGGCAGATCGTTTAATTTCTTTGAACCTTCATTTTTTTTGAAAATGGTTAATGAAATGTGGTAGGCCAGGCTCACAGCAGGCAGAGTAAATGTTGCACAGTAAGTCTTCAACAAATTACAAATGTCATGATTGTTTTTCTTATTATCACTCTGCCAAGGGAAAAAAGCAGTGCAGTTAGAAATACTTGTGTACCAGGGTCCAGGCTGGTGGCATGCCGGTCATGCCCCTTGCTCACTACCATATTCGTCAGTCTGGCTCCCACCAAAGACTAGGAATGCCTTGTCTCCTCCTTGCAGTTTGGTTTTTACTTCCGTCCACATGAGCTCCCAGTCTGGCTCAATGCCCAGTATACAGTAGGTGCTCCATATATGTTGAATCAAGCAATCAAACAGTAAGTGAAGCTCTTTGTCATCAGTAAACAAAATCTTTTTTTTTTTAAAGACTTTACTAATCTCATTAAATTAAAAAGAAAGTATTAGAAAAGTTGTTTGGTCACAAAACTTTCTTAAGTCAATCAAATGTTGAGCACCTAATATGTTCATTTTGTTGCTAGGATACAAATATATTAATGTGTGCCCAAAATAGTTTGTAGTCTAGCAGGTATACAAAGTAGGAAGATACACAGTGTACAAATTCAGCATCTATCTCTACAGTATCGCTCACTGCTACTACTGATAAACTCTTTTCAAGATTATGTGATAAATAATATTACAGAAAATATCCTAAAATAGTATGTAGTGATTTGCCAGTGGAGTCAGAGAGACAGTTAATACCTACAAATGAAGAAAGAATCCCAGAGTCCAGTGCATATCGTAAAATTGACATAGGAAAAGATTAACTCAAAAGAAGGAGATAGTCTGCACATGTTAAATGCAACAACAAAGTTGTAGAAATGATGAAGTGGACATATAGGGGCCAGAAGAAAGGGGTCAAAGAGATTTTCAGACAAATTTGGGATATCTTCATTAAATGGAAATAGGACTATTTTTTCTCTTCACTGTGGTGAGGATTGCCTGTCCCCACTCTCACTATAGTCTTAGCATATCCCTTTGGACCAGGAGGTTGAGAAAAGTCCCAACACACTTGATGTGCAACTTAGATGATAAATATGGAGATAAGAGAGTGAAATGATGAAAAATTTAGGAAAAGCAACTAACTCAGGCAGAACGGCATAACTGTAAAAAGTTTTAGGTAAAGGTGAAATGTGAAAAGTAATGTCATTTTTTTTTTTTGTTAAAGAAGGGACAGATTGAAGCATGTATGGAAGAAAAAGACGCCAGAGTTGAGAAAATCCCCATAATAATGGTGTGCATGGAACCATATGATTTTTTTTTTTTAAAGGAGTATCTGAAGAGATAATAGAGATTTAAAAATCTCATTGGAAAAAAAAATCAAAGTAATTTTTCCCTTTGACTGGAATTTTTACTCTTTGCTTCAGTATTTTTTGGACTTTAGGATTGAGAGAATGTAATGTAGGAAACAGAAACCCTTCATAGGAGGAAAGACTATTCAATGTATAGAGGAAAGCTAGGTTTTCATATCAGAAAACTACATGAAAATCTAGGAGGTAGGATTGTTTTACTAGGTTGTAATTTTCCTTTCTGCCCCATCATTGCCAGCTATGGCAGGCTCCTTCACTTCTTCTCCCACTAATGTTTTATTACAAAAAACAAACAGAAATTGGTATTAATAAGCACAGTTTCACTAAGTTACTACGGAAACGGCTTGGCTCAGTCTGATGGATAAAAACATGACATTAAACCTTATTCTTTATGATCTTGGAATTATTACATCATTCCTTCTGTTCCTTTTGGAAAGGAACTGGCAGGCTTTTCCAGCTGATAAAATTAAACTTCATTTTATTAGGCATTATAAAATTATGCATGAGAGTGACGTAAAACAAAAACACTAAATCTTTTTAATGTGGCAGGGTAGAATGGCATATGCGGATAGTTCTGAATGAGTGGTTGTCTCACCGTGTCTTGTTTATGAAAATATTGCCTGCTGGAAAATAAGGTGGAGAAGCACATCTAGAATACAGATCTAAAACTACCACAAAGAGATTATTGCTGTTAGAATCTAGTAAGGATTTATGATCTCAGAGGTCAAGTCAAATTCAGATTATAAATATTTCATCAGTCGAAGAGGAAGCTATTTGATGATTCTATTTTTAAGTTCTTATATGTTCTTTGAAACTAATTGGTAAAATGGAAAGAAACCCTTTCTATAATTATGTTCTCTCACTTTGAAAATATTTTAAGTTTCAAGAATGCACTGTACTTAAAAAAAAATCTCTTTTAATAGTAACTGTCTATTTTAGTCCCAAAGTGCTACATAAATGAAATGACAGAATTTTCAGGACCAATAAAGCACTTTGGATGCTTCGATTTTAAGTGAATGTTTGCTAAGTCAGTCTGAAGGAACCACAAAAAAGACCATTTCTAACCTCAGCACAGATGCGTCAGAAGAGATGATTTTGTTAAGAATCCTTTTTGTCAGGTGTGCCAAGTCACCTGGTAGAATAAGCTAGAAAGGAGACAGCAAGGCAGTCAGGGGTGTGTTAGACAGGTTTGTGTCCAGATTAAAAATCAGTGTGTGGGGTTTTTATTTTAGTTTCCGTAGAAATAAAAATTGAGCTCCATTTTATATTTTATTCATTATATGTTTGCAGAATTTGTTTACTGATTATTAAAGAGTGTACTTGGCAATGTTCCTTTTAAGATGTGAGCTTGTTTGTTTTGCAGTGGTATAAATGTTACCTAAAATTTTTCAGAAGCACTACGCTATGCAGGTACTATTTAAAAACTTGCCAACCTGGTGATCAGTCATTTCCTTCCTGTAAAGTTCCCTCCCAACAGGCCCCCTCCCACCACCATTTCTCCTGAAATACAGCTGGCCTCTGATTCTTCTGGGCAGGTGGTACTGGTTTTTTCTCTCTCACTCTCTTGGACTATATATTACGCTGCTGATTTAGTTCTCGCTATGAATACGTCCCATACAACTTTGTAATATGGACATTTGGTACTTACTTCCTAAGATCGCAGGCTCTCTGAGGGAAAGAACTGTGTCTTATCAGACCTATACTCCCTAAGCACTTAGCATAGTACTTTGTACAGAACTGGTAATAAATACTGATCAAATGGATAACTCTTTCTTTGTGTGTATTTCAGGCAGCCTAGAAGACCTCTGCTGCATCCAGTAAGAGCCTGTGAGATTGAACCCAGACAGTCAAACAGAAGAAAGACTATTGATGGATTTTAAGCCACGGTGGTTAAAGCATTTGAGATTACTGGGGAAATAATTGGTCCTCCTCCGCCTCATATCTAGGTTCAGGTTGCTTCTGATGCAGCTGAGAAAAATGCAGGCTATCAAGAAGGAGCAGGCATCTCTGGATACCAGCAGCGTGGACAAGATGATGGTGCTGAATTCTGCTCTAACCGAAGTCTCTGAGGACCTTACAGCAGGCGAAGAGCTACTTCTAAATGAAGGAAGTATGGGGAAGAACAAATCCTCAGCATGCAGGAGGAAACGGGAGTTCATTCCTGATGAAAAGAAAGATGCCATGTATTGGGAAAAGAGGCGGAAAAACAATGAGGCTGCCAAGCGATCTCGTGAGAAACGTCGACTGAATGACCTGGTTTTAGAAAACAAACTAATTGCACTGGGAGAAGAAAATGCCACTTTAAAAGCTGAGCTGCTTTCGCTAAAATTAAAGTTTGGTTTAATTAGCTCTACAGCATATGCTCAAGAGATTCAGAAGCTCAGTAATTCCACAGCTGTGTACTTCCAAGATTACCAGACTGCCAAGGCCAATGTGAGTGCCTTTGTGGATGAGCACGAGCCCTCGGTGATGGCGAGTAGCTGCATCTCTGTCATTAAGCACTCGCCACAGAGCTCTCTGTCTGATGTGTCAGAAGTGTCCTCGCTGGAACATTCGCAGGAGGCCCCTGCACAGGGGGGCTGCAGAAGTCCTGAGAGCAAGTTCCAAGTCATCAAGCAAGAGCCGATGGAGCTGGAGAGCTACGCGAGGGAGCCCAGAGATGACCGGGGCGCCTTCCGAACATCCGTGTACCAGACCTACATGGGGAGCTCTTTCCCCGGCTACTCACACTCGCCCCCGCTGCTGCAGGTGAACCGATCCTCCAGTAACTCCCCCAGAACCTCAGAAACTGACGAGGCCGTTGTCGGAAAGTCATCCGACGGAGAAGACGAGCAACAGGTGCCCAAGGGCCCCATCCACTCTCCTGTTGAGCTTCAGCGTGGACTTGCCACGGTGGTTAAAGTTCCAGAAGTGAATTCCTCTGCCTTGCCGCACAAGCTTCGGATTAAAGCGAAAGCCATGCAGATAAAAGTAGAAGCCTTCGATAATGAATTCGATGCCACGCAAAAACTTTCCTCACCTATTGACATGACATCAAAGAGACATTTTGAACTGGAGAAACATAGTGCCCCAAACATGGTACATTCTTCTCTCACTCCCTTTTCTGTGCAAGTGACGAACATTCAAGATTGGTCTCTCAAACCAGAACACTGGCATCAAAAAGAACTTAGTGGCAAAACTCAAAATGGTTTTAAAACTGGAGTTGTTGAAATGAAAGACAATGGCTACAAAGTTTCTGACCCAGAGAATTTGTTTTTGAAGCAGGGCATAGCAAACTTGTCTGCAGAGGTGGTCTCACTTAAGAGACTTATAGCCACACACCAAATCTCTGCTTCAGACTCTGGGTGATTACTACTGAATGGGCTCCAGGCAGATGTCATTTGCAATAGATGAGTACATTTGTATTAGGCTGAATTTTCACTGGACCTGTGACGTCATTTCACTGTAATGTTCACATGTTGTCTGTTGGGTGTCTGTGCACAGATAATCTGAAGATTAGATTGCGTTATTACTCTGCCTTGTGTATATAGTCAGCTCATCCTTGCAAAGGCTGTATATACTGAACATTATTTTTGTTGTTCTATTATAAAGTGTGTACGTTACCAGTTGCAATAAAGGATTGGTGACAAACACAGAACTTCTGCTCCATTGCACTTGATTTTAAGAAAAAGAAAAGGCAATTTAAATTCCAAAAGTAGATTTTATGGCGTTCTATGTTTGTTTGGGGGAGTGTTCTCCTCCTGAGTAAGAGAAAACTGAAATGTAAGTTCAGCAAATAATTTGCTTTTCCTCTCATTTGACCCAGGCAATAATAAGTTTCAAGACATTTCAGAGTAAGAGAAGAAACAATGAATTTCCTTGCAGTTGAGGCTAATTTACTAAGTCACTCCCCTGTTCTTTATTTATATTTTAAGGTTAAGTTTTTGCTATAATTTTTTTTTAAAGTAGTGTTTGCCATCAGCGCTTTTTAGTCATCTGTCTTTTAAGTGTGACACATGGATGTGGATAGTTGAATCACTGACCCACTTATTAATTAGAGGTTCTTTTAAAAGAGTGGATAAAGACTAAGGATGAAGTCATTTTTATGTTATTGTAAACTTTAACAGTCCTGGAGTGTAACAGTCTAGGGCATTAAGATAGTGAAATACTGGTTTTATTTCGTTTTGAAAACTTCAAAGAACACATCAATTATCACATAGCAACCAACATATATTCTCAATATATATAATGACTCATTTTTAAAAGCTTTGTTAATGATGAATATAAATAATAGCTATGTTTAAGGACTCATTTGGAAACTACTTATAACAGAAACATCCTAAAAAAAAAAAAAAGCATCATTCTGAGTAAATTGGTGGGTGATAAGCCCATTATTGATGATTTGTCTGGTACCCTCCATTGGCCCAGAGGAGTAAGTGCCGTCACGCGTGGGCTCAGGGTACTTCTGTTGCATGGCAGGTGCCACTGGCATCGGGTGAGGTGGGAAGAGGTGGGTGGATACTGGCCAACACCACCAACACCCTCTCAAGAACCATCTCTTTCCACACCTTTTTCTGTTCTGGAAGTGGGTGGAGCAACTTGAGGCTTCTTAGAATACGTGCAATGTGACTTAACCCTCTCTGTTCCTCTATCTCCTGGGTGCCCTGGAACAGCCCACTGTTGCAGGGGTCTGCTGTCTTTTGACTGCCCAGTTTGGTAAAAGCCTAATTTTTCATATGTTAAATTTCCTGTGTTTTTATATTTTTAAAAGTGTGGGCCTTTGAATCAAAAGCAATGCCAGCAAAAAACACACAGAAACGACATCCACTTTGTCCTTTAGTCACCAGTTTTCTCGCTGGATCTCCTGGCCCTTAGAGAAATGTGTTGCCAATCTTACCCATGACCTTCTCTGTTAGTATATTAGTGACTAGGTGAAACCTAGAAGAATGTCATAAAGCAGAGCAATCTGAAATATCGGACGGTAGTCTGGACCCTAAGGCCTCTGACAGCTTTAGAATGAATGGGCTGGATCTAACAGTGTGCATTATAATGGGGATGCAATGCAATGTCATATTCCTGTGTTAAACAAAAAGAAAAGCTGCCCAGGTTCACAATGGGGAGGAAAACAATAACACAACTACATATGGGGAGAAAATAGCTTTAGTTCTTTCCAGCTCACTTTGAGTCAGCTCCCAGTGGAATATTTGGTCTTGTCGACGCAGCGTCCAAGCACAGAGACAACTGTCCTGCTGTCCCAGGGTGCACAGGCCTACGAGGTGCAGTATAGGCATTCCACAGGAGCCTGCCAGAGATGGGAGCGTTCACAGCCCTCAGAAGTGTGAAGAAAACTGTGGCTAAATTGCCCCCAAGAGGAACAAATCTTATACTGTGTGGTATAGTAAGGGCAAGTGGACAGAAGCAAGAAAGGTAGATCTTGAGTTGTTTTAAAGCAGTGCATTCATCGGGCTGTGCCAAAGCACTGGCCCTCCTGAGACCCTGCACCTTTCATAGTGATTGATCACAGCAAATAAACCATGCTGGGATGCCGTGTTCCTTAGTCATTTTGCCTTGTAATTTCAAGGAACTAAGATGTAGTCAGATGATGTTTCAAATGCTCCTCTTTAAAAATAAAAGGAATGAACATTTCAGAACTCACTAGGAATCAAGGGAAGATAAAGTCACATTTAGCTGTGACACTTCTATTTCATGATGTCAAACTAAGGAAATGATACCGTCATTCCCTCCTACTCACAACGCTCAAAAGAAGTGATAAGGAAATGTGCTTCCAACCAAATAAATCTATAACTACTGAAAAACAAGAAATGGAAGGCTCAGAGCCAAAGTTTTAAGAGTTCCCAGAAAGGTGGTTATCAGGTAGGTTCAGTAGGAAGAAGCTGCAGCTGGCAAAACACAAGCCTCACCCAGGCCGCGGCCTGAGCGGGGAGGGGGATCCTCAGTGACCAGCAGTGCGGCTGATGGGGACACTGCAATAGAAATAGTGAATTTCCCCTGAGCCGATACAGGAGGTGGTGGGATCCAGAGAAGCAAGGCATGGCCCCAGGCTGCTGTTCCCCTGTTGGGTACAGATATGTGTGTCCCCAATGACAGGCTCATCCCTCTTGTGTCCAACAGTATCTCTTTGCTGCTGTTATTTTATTGCTGTGTCCACTTTATAAAGAGGGAAATACTGAGATTCTGAGGTTAACTTGCCAAAGCTCTAACAGAGGTCAGAACTCAGGCCCCTGGGACCAGGCCACGGGACTAGAGGATGTCTTATCTGCAGGTGAAAAGGAGGGAAATTAAAGTGTCCCCGTTGTGCTTTTTCTCTGTAAATTAGTAAATCTGCTCTTTAAGCATCCGCCTTCATATTGCATGACAGTGTGTGATGGCCCCTTAAGGAGCAGCTACTCCCTAATAAAAACAGTAAATATGTGTGTAGTTCCTCCACTTCATCTGGATGCTCACCTCTTCTGAAGTCCAGACTCCCATAAATGGGCATCTTTTGGTCACATAACCATCGTAAATTGAAAACATTAAAAAAGTTGTTAGTTTTTTAAAAATTGCTAACTATCAACCTCATTTTTAAAAACTAGAGTAGCCCTGAAAAGTGAGTGTCATTGACAGCACTCATTTGGTTTGGGTCCTTTGTGTGTTTTGCAGGGCAGGGTTGGAAATTGTTCAGGAAATGCAGCCATTGGGATGATTTGTACAGTGTCCCAAAGCTGCCCCAGAAAATTTTCAGTAAGAAAAACTTGCCAAGGATGTGAAATTGTGGGATACTCACAGAACTTCTGAACTGCAGTGCAGCTAGAAAAATGTGGACTGGACATTTTCTAGAAAGGTAATATAGCAGATGACTGGCTTAAGGCTTTGGCAGTATTTCCCATGGAGGTAGCTTACCTTGACTCTAATGGACAGAAGGGAAAAGTATTTCTAAAATGAGTGGAAATAAGTGGTAACCACCTGGGTAGAGGAGAGAGGTGGCATTAGATGGTGACAGACACCACTTAAAAGGTCCAGAGAGCTTGCAGCTGTGGCACTGAGTCATGGAGCCAGGAGTGCTCCCGGGCTGGTACGGTTCAAGTTTGATGATGTGAGCCAAGTGAGAAGTACTAGGTAAAAGAAACTAAATCAGCCAGTCACCCAGATAGCATGTCTGATAGCTCCTTTGGTGAGGCTTACCTACTCACGAGGGAAGAGGAAACTTTGGGGAAAGTGCTGCAATAAAGTCAGAATTCTGGGCCTCCCCGGTGGCGCAGCGGGTTGAGCGCTGCGCTGTGAAGCTCTCTGCAGCCTCTGCAGTGCGGGTTCAATTCCTGGCCGACCAGGGAGATTCCCACATGGCGCGGCAGACTTCTCCTGACTCACCCACTCTTCCCCGCAGTAGTGTCTTTGGTCCCTCTGCATGTTCTGTTCCCCGCTCTGTCTCTGGTGAATTCTCTCACCCTCCTGTGCCTCTGACCTGTACCCCAGTTCTTGTATAAATAAATAAATCTTTTAAAAAATAATTTTAAAAAAAAGAAGAAAAAGTCAGAATTATTTAGAGTTCTGAATATTCAGAATTATTTAAAATAAAGTCAGAATTATTTAGAATTCTATCCTTTGAAAAGAATAAAGTTCTTCTGAAAATGTATAGGGACCAAATCATAAAGATAGGAAAAAAGAGGACAGAGGAAAGAAAGCTGTTTAGCACCAACACGGCGATGTAAGAGGGATAGGGCAGGGGAAATGGGTGAAAAGTCTAAATGAACCACCCTGTGGTAAACAGATACTCATTGTAGCAAGGCTTATAAATAGGGGGTACAGTGGGGGGCGGGGAGTGGTATCTTAGCAGCTTAGCAGCTGTGAAGACATCCAGGGTGAGAGGAAACTTCCTTTTTGAAGAAATTAGCACGTGGCTGGGGTCACAAGGAAAACCCGAGCAACAGTGATGTCAGCAAGTACTGACACCAAGAGACATGAGTAGGTTGCTTTGCAGAGAAGGTGGGAAGGTGTCAGAGGAATGTTGTGCTTTGGAGGGAGCTTAGGGTGACTTGATGGGAAGGAGATAAGGAGAAAAGAGTGGTGAGCAGGAAGTCATCAGCCTGTCTGAGTTTATTCCAGGGATCAGGGGCCAAGTAGAATGTAACAAGGCAGTGGGAAGCTACACATAAAGTTGGGTTTTGAATACAACAGGGCTGTGCTTATTCAAGGGGCTGGACACCCCCTTACTGAACAGAAGCTTGAAGAATGCAAGGCCCCATTAGAAGGGGTAATTTTTCTGAGAGTTAGTGTTCAAATAGGCTTTGGAGGGACAGAAATCACCTATCAAAGTTTTTGTGGGGAACATGTCTTGATTAATCTTTGTAAGAATGCCATCTGGTCCTTGAACTTAAGAGTTTCTTTAAAATTACAACTGACCCCCAAATCATTCCGTTTTGCTATTTTCTGCCTTGGGTACCATCAGCCTTCTGAATATTTGTAAGATATTTGTAAGATTTACCATCTGCTATTGCTCACTATGTCTTAGATTCCTGATGTAATAAAAATATAAATTATTTTAAATGGTTTGTTTTTAACTTCTTACTCCTTTTCACACATGTCCCCTAATGAATCCTTATTAAGCCATTAAAGTAAGTATGATAATTTATTATTACATATTTGCTTTTCTGTAAAATG